TGCATATAAGCACACAAGGCGCATCTATACAATGTGGGGTTACAGCTGATTTGATTTTTTTTCTCTACACTAGTACAGTAGAATGTCATCCAAGACGAAATGGCATAACTCTAGGATGCTAACAACACGAAATGACGACCATGGTCTCCTATTTTCTTTCGTTTTGACATCCTTAAGTACCAAAAAGCAATAAGAAAATATACGGGATTTTTTACTTATATGCGCCTGCTACCACCTGGCGTTGGATGAATGGATAGCCTTCAATAAAGGCCCCTAAAGCTCGCTAATTGAAAGTACAAAGAAAGATCAACTGATTGCCCGAAATGGTTTCGACCTCACAAGTACAGACCTTTTATCTACATACATAGCTTCCCACAGCAGTTTAACGGCGACCTCGTTTCCTTCAATCCCGCAGTGACAAGGTATCCCGAGAATTTGAGAACTTCGATGCACTTCTTGACGAGCTTAGAGTTAACCACACTATTCGTTAGGTCCCTTATGACCGCTTTACCGTCTTAAGAGGTAATAGAAAACGCGTCTTTCCAGCCATTTTTAAAGAATTAAACTCGCACAGATTGAGATTACTATCACCTCCGTGTGAAATGCTTAGGGTCATCTGCACACTGTAAAGAAAGAAAGTCTAATGCCGGGTCGATAACGGCACGCACCTGGTTTGTCTTCGATCCTTGATCAGTTTGTATACAATGTATGCACATATCTGGATTAAAGTTGAGCCGATGTATTTGCTCAGAGCTCGGAGTCTGGAATTTCATACTGAAACTTTCTGCCCAAAACAGATTTCTTGAAAAAACCGCATTTTCTCAAACCTTGAAAGATGGTTGGGTAGCTACCCATTGTATCGATTTTTTGAAGTTCCGCCCAAATATGCCATCCCCAGTTTTAACATTATCAAGTTTATATCCATCTGTGTATCAAAGCTCTACATTTGGTTAGGTGTATGGGTTCCCTGTATTACAGAGAGCTTAATCTACAAGTTATAGATATTCCATTACCTTAAAGTACAGACCGCAGTTTGAGAATACCTACAGGCTGCTGGATTTACTCCAAGATATATGCATGACTTTATCAGAGTATTCCAGCACTGTCTGTATCTGTGATCAGTATCCGAAAAGCTATTTGTGGGTTTATGCTGAGATCCTCACTGGCACACCAGTTCCAGAACCAGTATTTACAAGGTCGTCAGCGTATCTAACGAACATTCTACTGTCCTTCCCACGACAGCCGGTTCTACGTACCGGAATGACTCGGGTTTCACCCGACCAAGGGCTGTTGTTTCGGCGATCTAACCCCGTTTAGGTCGGCGAAGTATCTCAGAAGTTGTCCGTCCATAGGGCAACATTCACTACGCATTCTCCTACTCAGGGCTGGCATCGAGTCAAACCCTGGGCCAGAAATATACACCTGCTGTGTATGCCGAAGACGTTTACACCACAACTCCACCTCAGTCAAGTGTAATGCCTGCGAGGGGTGGAGTCACCTCAGGGTCTGCTCGGGACTGCGGACACACAGACAGTGGACCACGTCGTACGTGGACCCCTGTTGCTCAAATAGAGCAGCCTCCACGGCAACCCATAGTCCGCCCGTGCAGCCCCACACACTCACACAGCAACCACACACAGTCGCCACAACACAACAACATACCACAGCCACCACAGACCACATAACACACACAACCGCACCACCACCCACACGCCGCCGCCAACAACTCTTGGTTCCCCCTACAATCTGCACGGTATGTCAGACCAGAATATTCCGTAATGTGACATCAGTCAAGTGCAACACCTGCCTTGGCTGGTGCCACTTTAGGGCATGTTCAGGTCTGCGCACCACGCGAGATTGGACGGGGAACTTCGAGGGCCCGTGTTGCGCTGCCCGGTCGCTGGCATCAATTGCGACGCCCCCCAATACCACCACAGGGAGGCAATCACCCCAGCAGCACACACAGCCAACGGCGGCAAGAACATACACCTCACTCACACCCCACATCACAACACGTCTCCCGAACCACATGAAGCTCCTCCAATTCAACTGTAACGGGCTACAGAGCAAGATTGAGGAGATAACCGCCTTTATGTGTCGGCATGGTATATTAATAGCTGCGGTCCAAGAGACGAAGTTGCACAGCAATTCAACTTTGTTGAATTGTGCCGGGTACAACGTGCACCGTCGAGATCGCGAGCGAGATAATGGTGGTGGCTTAGCGTTCATCACGCACCACACCGTGCAGTATCGTC